TATATAGATTGATCTACTGTGAAAAAAGAATATACATAAAAGTTATACATTTATGACAGATCCTCATGTATTGTTCCTGAGAGCAATTGCTATGAAATCAAACTCTACCTAGTTCAAGTGGAACAAGAGGGAAAGCTCTTTGTCATCGTCTATGAACATTTATTTTTCTGAAACAGCTTGCTGTGAATCGATATCCTTACTATATCAAACTTTCATTCTAATGATTTTGCTAAGTTAAACCTTTTCTGTTCAACAACTTCTAGTCTCTAGGGAAGTTATAGATTTGCCTTCAAAAGGTGAATGAATGTACTTTTAATATGCCTATGTGCTCTCTGTTTCTTAGTTTGACTTCAGGTGATTTGTTTAAAACATGAACATGTTGTATTCATAGAGTTACTGATTATTGCATCACTAGTCTCTTGTGAATTTTTATATTATATTGCACTATAAAAGTGGTGAACTGAATCCTCACACTGGTATTCTTTAACATAGATTATTTTTAATTCTCTTAGAAATTCTGTGTATAATATGAATATCACATAAATTCCTCAGAATGTATAAAGCTGTGAATTTATACTCAATTTTTCTTGCTCTGTAGATGTTCCCTGAACCTGTGGAATACCAGCAGTAGTTTGTATGGAAACTTTCAAAGTAGATTTTTAAAAAGAATTTGGCAAATAAAGAAAGAAAGACTGTATTAAGAAGATCACTCTGTCTTAGGTTCTCATATTTTCTTTTAGGTCTATGCGTGTATGATGGTTTTCTTCTTGGGCAACGTGCTTGAGAACCAATGTATGTCAACAGGTGCATTTGAGATAACTTTAAATGGTAGGTTCTGAATAGTCTGCATTTTATGATAAATTTTAAATTATTTATAATGAGCATCAGGCTCTTCTCTTTTATTTGGTAGTACTGGGGATTTAACCCAAGGCCTCACATATGCTAGCTAAGTACTCTGCCATGAGTATATTCTGCTTTTTAATAGGACAAACTTCTCTAATTTCATAGATATTGGAAATTTAGGACACAGAAAAATCTGTAAAATTGAACTTGTTCTCTTTCACTCTTTACTTTTAGAATTTCTTGAGGAATTGGCCCTTTTTTTTTTTTTCCTCCCCTTTATTTTTTTGAGACAAGATCTCACTATGTAGATTAGTCTGGCCTTGAATTCACTGTGGAGCCTAGGTTGGCCTCAAATTCCTGTTGATCCTCCTGCCTCAACTGCGCCACCACACCCTGGCCCTCATCTTTTGTTAAGTTGTTTATCTAGTCATCTGCTTCCATAGCTTTAAAATAAAATCTGTATGATGATTTCTGAATATGTAGCTCTAGAGAACTCTAAACTTTTTCAAAGTGCCATACCTGGGAATCTTAAACATGACCTGCTCCAAAATAAGCCTTTTTTTTTGGTTCTGGATGATGAACCTGAGCCCTTTGCACTGATCTGTATCTGCAGCCTTTTTGAATTTTAGACTGGGGCTCATTAAGTTGCTCAGATTGGGCTTGAATTTGTAATCCTCCTGCCTTGGCCTCCTAAATGTGGGGTTTACAGACATATGCCACCACCCTCGCCTTCAAATAAGCTCTAATTACTTCTACTTCCTACCATTTCTTTACACCTTTAATTTTCTTCTCTTCTGTCATTGGTGTACTCAGTTGCTCAGAAACCTGGGATAGCATCTTCTCCCTTATTCTCCATCTTTATAATTAATTACCTTCAGTTATCTCTTAGCTTGATCAGAAATCTTTATCTTTATGCCATCACCCTAATCTGTGCCCCATTTACCTTATTACCCTATTATTCTTTCTCTAAACAAGAGATTGGCACACATGACCATGAGCTAACAGTGGTTTTTACATTTTTAAATAGTTTTAAAAAATTAAAAGAATAATGTATGACATGTTGAAATTTCTGCATTTATGATGTTTTCAGTTTCATCAATGAAAACTTTATGGAAATTTGTTTTCTCTCTCATTATATAGGTAAACTTCTATAATATCCTGGACTTTGTGTCTTGATCATAAAGTCTAGAATTATTCTCTGCCTTCTTACAGAAAAAATTGCCAATGTCTGTTCTAGACAGTACAGTAATTTTTTTCAGATGCAAATTTTCTTGTTATTTAAACATCTCAAATTCATTAAATAAATAATTTTACTTTATTTCCAAGATACAGACCAGAATATTAACATTCCTAAAATGCCCGGAGACTCTAGTCTAGGAGTAACTGTGATCCTGTGCTTCATAGCTCTCTTCCTATTTTATGTATATTTTATTGGAACACAGCCATGCCAGTTCTTTCACATATTGCTAGTACTTGTTTTCAAGCTACCATGAATTGAATGGTGTGGGACTGTATATTTTCCTTAGCCAAAAATGTTACTTTTCTTTGGCTCATTAAAATTTGTTGACCCTGATTTAGTTCTTTATACCTCTCTAGCCTTCCTTGTGTTACTCATCCCTCTCCTATATTTCAATTATCGTAACTATCATTTTTTAATATGGCAGTCTCCTTTATAGCCTTTACAATTCTGTTCTGTTTTTCAGAAGTTTTGTTGTTTTGGGGATTGGTTTGGTTTGGGTTTTTTTTTTTTTTTTTTGGTACTGGGGATCAAACTCAGGGCCTTGTGGTTGTGGGGCAGGCGGTGGAACCACTGAGCTAAATCCCCAGCCCTGGTTTTTTTTTTTTTTTTTTTTTTGAGACAAGGTTTTGCTGTGTGGTTCAGGTTGGCTTTTTCATTCACTATCAAGCCTTGAAATCTTCCCAATCCTACCTCAACTTCATTCATGCTGAGGTTATTGGTATGTGCTGTCATACCTAACATTCAAAAGCTTTCTAATCCCATAAACTCTCACTATGTCTTGGTAATTTTTCTTTACCTAGGTGTCAGTTTAAATGCTACTTTTTTTTTTTTTCCAGTACCGGGGCTTGAACTCGGGACCTTGCACTTTTAAGGCAGGTGGGGGAACCACTGAGCTAAATCCCTGGCCCTTAAGGACTACTTTTCTGACTAGTCAGATAGAGATGTATGTTTGTGCTATTAAAACAGTGTACACTTTTTAACTTTAGCATACAATTGCAATTCTGTAGCTATTTGTGTAATTCTTTGTATTTTGTGTAGTAGAGTATAAGCTCTGAAAGGTCAAGAAGCTGTATTCTTGCTCACATCTGTATCCCCAGTTGTGGCCACCAAAACTCTTAACTTATGAAATGAATGTCTTATTATAATGCCACCTTTTAATTTTGAGGGTATGCCATTTATTTTTATAGATGTACCTGTGTGGTCTAAGCTGGAATCTGGTCATCTTCCATCCATGCAACAACTCATTCAAATTCTTGACAATGAAATGAAGCTCAATGTGCATATGGATTCAATCCCACATCATCGATCATAGCCCCACCTATCAGCACTGAAAACTGTTTTGTAAGTAGTTTAAAAATGAACTAGGTATAGCCAGGTGTGGCACATGTCTGTAATCCCAGGCTTAGGCAGAAGGATCACACTGCAAATTCGAGGCCAGCCTCGGCTTCATTGTGAGTTCATAGTGAGAGAATACATAGTGAGAGATTGTTTAAAACAAAAGAAAACTAGTATAATTCTTATCAGAAATGTTAGTAGATATATATTATAATATAATATATATATATATGTATTGTCACTTGAGTTTCCAGTTTAAGATTAAAAGATGAGTCTGTCCATCATTAAAACTTATAAGTTTGTCAAGAGAGTTTGGGCCTACCAAAATAAAATTGTGCTAATAATTTTATCTCAGATCCTTAGTAATTGAGCCTGCAACATCATTTTAAAAAAAACTCAACTCCTCATAGCCAAAATTGATGTAGGAATGGGATATTCCTGACCTTCAGATAATTAGCTCTAAAAGCATGCAAATTTTTAGCAGTTCAAGATAGAAAATATATAAGCAATTGTGTGAATAAGATGAGATGTGTTCTCAGTTCTTTACTGATCAGAATTTATATTCTAAGTTTTCATGAGCGTGATTATTAAAATACTCTTTTTTCTGTATATCTTTCAGACATTAAGGAATTTTTTCAAGAGCAGCGTGACTGACATTATGAAGGCCTGTACTGAAGACAGTGAGCTGTTAGTACAGACCAGATTCTTTTTTGGCAGGCTCGTTGTACCTCTTGGAAAACCTCAATGCAAGATAGTTTTTCAGTGCTGGCACATTTTGGAATTCTGCACATTCATGGAGTGCAATAATACTATATACTCTCCTATCTCTATTCACCTAATTTTTTTTAATGTAGGCATTATTACTACGTATAACTTCTTCTCGGTCATATTTTTAAAAAGTAATTGAGTTACAGTTTGAGTGTCTTTTTTCCTCAAGATGTCTGTTAAGTATGTTCTGCTTTTTTAAATTCTTGTTTTTTTATAGTTTAAAGTCAATCTTTTGGGGAATACAGTGAAATTCTCAAATACTTTATAAAGTTTATCAGACATCTCTAATTTGGACATGTTCAATTACAGTTTTGAAAATACTGCTTGTTATGAACAATGCATTATATAAGATTATGGGGAGGGGTCCAATATCCAGAGTACTCTACCAATTTGTGTGTATGTGCGTATGGGTGTGTGATACAGAGAACTACTACCAAACCCACTGCTTTTTAAATCTTATTATGTAGTTAAGTGTCTTGCCTTGACCAGTCTAATGAGTTGAATTAACTGGGCCTTTATACTTAACTAAATAAAACCTAAGCAGATGTCAGTTAAATGAAAAAGTTTCAGTTTATTGTTCAGTGTACCTGTTAACATCGTATTTAATAATTGTCTGCCTAATTTTTTGTTTTTAATTTATAGATAATCACAAGGAACAAACTTTAGATTCACACACAAATAATAAGTTCATTTACCACATTTAGGATGAGTAAAACTCACCTCACTCAATATAAGTTCACTTGAACCTCTTACAATATTAATATTGTCAGGTGTGGTGGCATTCACCTGTAATCGCAGTAGAAAGATTGTTGTAAGTTGGAAGCCAGCCTGGGCTAGCATAGTTCAAGACTAGCATGAACTATATAATGAGATCCACTCAACACAATGCAAAACAGAAAAGCCCCGAAAATATTGTTATTAGGTGAATAGAGATCTCCTGTTTAGTAACGTAATTTGTCTAGAATATATATTAGATTGATTGATTGGTTGATTTTTCAGACAGGGTCTCACTGTTGTAGTCCAGGCTGGCCTTGAATTCACTGTGTATCCCAGGCTAGTCTCAAACTTGTGATTCTCCTGCCTCAGCCTTCTGAGTGCTGGGATTACAGGCATCCACCACCATGCCAGCAAAAATTTATTATATTTTAAAAAATAGAAAAAATTTTAAATTTAATTTTGTGTATTGTTCCAGAGTTCTAAATGCAGCTTTCTCAGAGCTTAAATTGATAAAAACTGTAAGAATGATTTAACAGAAATAGGACCATAGTGCTCGCTTCGGCAGTACATGTGCAGAAATAGGACCATAATGTACAAAAAAAAGTTACATATCAACAGTAATGACATACTTCAGCTTCCATAAAATAAAACAGTAGAGGCAAAAGTTGGCCTAGATCTGTTGGTGGAAATTAAGAGATTTAAAGAAAAGCTATGAGATAATTCAATATTGGTTTCACCTAATCCTTAGTGTTGTATCTAACTTTAAACTCAGTCACTGAATACTTATTAAATGCATATGAGATAATGGTCGGGCTTGTGACAGCCTCAAGGTGGAACATACTGGGGATTCTAGATTCTAAGAAATGAGTCTAATGATTCACAGAAGAAAATTGATTAAATGAATGTCCCTTTGTTTGTTCCCAGGGATCAAACTCGGACCTTGTGCTTGTGAGGCAGGTGGTGGAACCACTGAGCTAAATCCCTGGCCCTGTCTTTATAATTAAGTGTAGAACTGTTAGCCAGAATTCTTCATACAATGATAACTAGTAGACTTTAAAAGTTCCTTAAAATTGTTATTTAGGTATAGTACCATTTCATCTTGTGTCCGACTCCCTATTTCCTGCAAGTTGAATATCTTCAGTGTGTCCAGGGGTTCTTTTTTCCGCTAATGGACATTCCACAATTAACTTTTTAGCACATAGACATTCAGATTAGGGCCTTGATATTCTCATGGACCTGACAGGTCAAACTGAAGAGCCTAAAATTGAAATCCAGCTTTCCCCATGTTTCTATTAGGTTGAATAATTGTCTCTTAGAGAATAGATTTAAGTGACTTACCCACTGAAAAAACTCAGCTATTTTGTTGACACCCATCACTGTTTTGTCTCACGCTTAGCCATATTTAAATCTAGAATTTAAAAGGGTCTTGTGAAAAAAACCAGTGGAACACATGAATATAAAATATATATAAGAAAAAGGAAAAAGTAAACTAGAGTGTAACTCTTCCACTAACTTTTTAGAATTTTCTAGTTGTTTAATTGGTGTGGCTGTGTAAGTTTACAAATGTCTATGCATCCCATTAATTAAAAGATATAGAACATGTCAGAAAATTAGCTAATGTTACTGAATTTTTTTAACACAATTGTCATGTGGAAGAAATTATTTGTTATATTAATAAACAATTTGTAAAACATGGCTTTATATCTTAGCATGGAAGATATACAGACAAATATTCTTTCAGAATATAAATGACATGGTTTATAGCACTAATATTAAGGATAGTATTTGATCAGCCCTTGATCAGCCTTTAAACTATTAAAATACAGGATCTTAACGATGGTTCATTCTTTACATGTTTGGAACCTTGACATTCTGTCGTCATAATTTAAAGTAATTCAGTTTTAAAAATAGCTTAGAATGTTTAACCATAGTTTAAACCTTGTATTAAAATCTTGAGAGAAACAGGTGAGGAACTGTAGATTTTGGGACTTACCTCCATGGCATAGTGAAAATAAATTAAGATAATGTGAAAGGAAACCCTACTTTGTGGAATTAAGTCTATACTGGAACACTGAAGTCTTGCACAGTCGCTTCACGTTTATAAAATGACTTAATAACACATTCAGTACAGTGGGGGCTTAGATACACAGAATGACGAGAGGAAAGTTGTTTCTAAGAAAGTAATTATTCCAATTAATCTTTTGTCAATGCAACATTCTTTCTGGTTAATATTTTAAAACTATCAGTATGCTTTGAAAGGAAATACTAAATCTTCAAGTATAATTAACTGCTTTGAAATGATAGGTTTTTTTCACAGCAAAGTAAGCCACAGCATCCCACGCGCAACATTTCCCATCTTTGTTTGTTTTTTTGGTACCAGGGATCGAACGAACTTGGGTCTTTGTGTTTGCGAGGCAGGTGGCAGAACCACTGAGCTAAATCCCTGGCCCATCCCACCTTTGGATTCTTTCTCTTTTTCACTAGATAACCCAATCCTTGATCTTTTTCTCTCATTATTGACTCTCCATTCATGTACCTGATTCCTTTTCAGGATTATTACGACAAGTCTGTGGCTTTGTGGTTAGAAGTAATTCAGATCCAATACCTGTTTAATCCAACTGAGAGTTGCTTAGAATTGATGAAGCCAGCATTTGATTGCTTGACTAAGAAAGACAAGTATTAGAACCAAAAGGCAAGTCGCTACCAACATTCCCTTAGGCCACTGGCTATCCCTGTATGCTGTATGTACTAGCAGCCTTACTAGAGGATGAGAAAAGCGACAGCTCCTTTGTTTATCTCTCTTGAGTTGCTAAGATCAGGTTTGTGGAAAATTGTGTTGATTATGTCTTCCCCAAAATGCTAAAAGAATGTATTAGAGAATGCTGCTGAATGTTATCTTGGTGGTGGGAAGCTATCTTGAGCCTTTGTAGGGTGTTCAGCAGCCTCTCTGCTCTCCCTTCTAGAAGCCAGGAGCAATTCACCTCTCCCAGTAGTGCCATCAAAACTTGTCTCCTAGAGAATAAAACCCCAACTGAGAACAATTGCCTTAGCCAGTTCATTCGTGCGTTTGTTCATTCATTCTAAAACCATTTTAGTTCTTAAGACATTCATGCCCGTTTTCATCATGTTGTCAGTACTTTTCTTTACACAGTATTTACTTTTTGGTATTGTACGTTTATGTAATATTTTGCATCTCATATCCTTTCCATGTTCCCACATGAATCTTCTGGATACAAAGTTCTTACATCCTCTTCAATCATAATTCTTAAGTATGGTGTAGCACTGTAGATTACATAGTATATAAATTTAAAGGAATGAGTATAATAGAGATTGCTTTATTTTAGCACATATAGTGCATGTCTGTAATCCCAGCTACTCAGGAGGCCGAATCAGGAAGATCATAAGTTCAGGCTAGCCTGAGCAACATGGTTAGATCCCTTTGAAACAAAGATTGCTGTATTTCTTAAGATGGTACACACACACACACACACACACACACACACACACACGGGAAACAGGATGTAGCAGAGTGGGGATTGCATGCAATTTCAGGAGAAACACATTTCCTAGAGTATCAGTTTTGCTTAAAAGGTTTAGGGGGTTAATAAAAATAAATTTTTTTGTTAAAATGGAAAATTTAGAACAAAACACTTTCATGAATTTAAAAATAACGAAATTGTGCAGTAACAAGTATTCTGGTATTGTAGCATACTTTTCGGACATCTTTGATCCTGGTTATATATTACTTACAAGAATGTCGGATTTTTTTCCTTCAAAAAATGATTAATGTAAGTTTTTGTGGTCACTCATGCCCTCTATATTCCTGTAAATTTCTTTTACTCTAGGATTGAGTGTCGTGCCCTCAGAATTATCCTCAAATCCAAAGTCTTGTGTTTACCATTTAGATGGAAACCTTTGGGTGTAATTTTTTTCTCCCCATTATGTTTATTGGTACATTTAAGGCAAACTATTGTTACATTTATCATTGGGATCTTGTACCTTTACATGATATAGCTTGGTTCTTATTTTTCCCCATACCCCTGCCCTCCACCCCCATCACCCTCCCCTATTTACAAAGACTTCGTTTCCATTTTTTCCTTTTTTCACATTTTTCTTTTCCCTCATTTCCTTTCCTCTCCCCTTCCCACTTCCCCTTTAGCCATTTCTTCCTATTTCACACTATCAGTTATACCATTTGAACCTTATTTATACTTTTAGTTTTTCACGCCCTTTGGGTTTAATTTAAATTCCTTTTGGTATCTGCTTTCTGCTCATTGGATAAGGAGCCTTTGTTTTTGGCCTGAGAACATGAAGTTCACTGCAGTTAAATACCTCCAGGTTTAGTATGATTATGTTTCCTTGATTTTCTAAGAAGCCATCCTTGCTCCTTGTGGTCCAATCCTGTCTTTGATCCCTAGGAACAATACAATGTCCTATGAGTATTTCAAGGACACTGATATTAGACAACCACTTAGGCAACTAATTTTCTTTATTCCAAAGAAAACTGTGTGATAGAAATTAAACTGGCTACTTTCTTTAGATCAAATGAAAACTTCCTTGTTCTCATTTAATACAAATATGAATAAGACCTATAAGTCTTATTTTACTGAAACCTGAAATCAGGCATATGTTGGGCTGCCTCATATATGTAGGATTCTCATTCCCCACCCAAAGGGCATGACGCAGTTGTCTTTAGGAAAATGATGGGCACTTTACTGGAGATTTCTTATGGGTCCTTCGTGATGGAGTTTCAATTCCCAATCCTATTCTTAGAAATTTCTGATACTCATTTAGTTAAAAGATAACAAAAGCATGCTCAAAAGAACATAGGCT